TAATGTAAACAATTTTTTTTCAATTAAGAAGAAACGCCAACTGCGCTCAAAGTTGTTAGATGTTGGAATAATAATTCTGGAATATAATTTGGAATATAATTTGTTCTAAAAACATTTACTTTAAATTTGCCCGCCGGTTACTTTAGAACTTACAACACAATCAAATTGAAATAATAATAATAATAGTCTCACAAAATTAAATTTGATCGACGATTTGAAAAACTATTATTGCGGAAAATATTATTTCAGTTGGTATTCGAAGCCGGATCTTCTCTAGCGAAATTTTTTGTCAATCAAAACGCCAGATATTAGAGAACAGAAGTAAGCAAATATCATCTTGATCAAAAAGTTTCCGGAATTATCACCAGGTGATCCTCTGAGTCAGCTGATTTAAGTTCTGTTTTTTTTTGGTTAGGTTGCCACATCTATCATTGACATTCATCAAATTTTATCACCATAGCTTGACATTTGTAAAAGTTACGCCGTCTTGAGTATATCTACCTTTGCACGTATTTTCGATTTTTTACAGTTTTAAAAATGGAGTTGAATTTGCAACAACGAGTTTGTATTAAATTTTGCGTTAAAAATGGATTCAATAGTGTGAAAACCTTGAAAATATTGGGAAACTGTTTCGGCAGTGATACTCTAAAAAAAACAGCCGTTTATGAGTGGCATGAACGTTTTAAAAGTGGTCGTGAATCGTCGAGGATTTCATGGATTACGGTATTGTACATCACGAATTTTTGCCAGAAGGAAGACAGTTAATAAGGAGTATTATTTAGGCGTTATGAGACGTTTGTGTGAAGCAGTTCGCCAAAAAAGAATGGATTTGTGGGCAAATAACTCGTGGATTTTGCATGCATGATAACGCATCGTTGCACAGTGCCATCATTATCCGTGAATTTTTGATCAAGAACGAAACGAATACCATCCAACAGCCATCGAATTCACCTGATATGGCTCCCTGCGATTTTTTTCTGTTCGATCGAGTCAAAAAACTATTACGGGGAACGCATTTTAACAGCCGAAAGGAGGTAATGGAAACATTGAAGACGGCTCTGATGGCTATCCAACAATAGATACCAACAATAGAGTTCCAGAAATGTTTCGAGAGCTGGATCAAGCGCTGGCATAAGTGCGTTGCAGTCGATGGGGAATACTTTGAAGGGGACAATATCACTTTTGATGAATAAAACTTGTATTTTGAATTTTTTGAATGAATTCCGGGAACTTTTTGATCAAGATAGTATATGTGTATTTTTATTAATCCTTTGTGGATCGGTGACCCCATTTGAAGTCATATCTCTTATTTTATAAACTATCTACTTGATTTTCATGAAACTTGGCTTATAGGTTAATTTGATAATGTTTTATTCAAATCTGAGATCGAAAAGAAAAATTCAAAATGATTGATCAAAATGGTTTATCCAACATGGACAGAATTTTTAAAAATAATTTTATAAAACCTATTTAGCTTTAACAGTTTTTTTTAATGAGAAGTGAAAAAATATCAAGTTTTCAGTTTCGATTTAAAACTCATCAGCTATGTAGTAATTAATATTGATTTCCAAACTGACTTTCCAACTCTAATTATGAATCCTGACGCTAAATCCTCCTTCGTTGGAAGTAGTCATTCTTGAAATTTGACATTTTCAGGTTGTACTCAAATTCAGCGATACCTCCCAGAATCTCTTAAACTTGAGTTTTACTGAATTTTAACTGAGATAAATTTTTTTTAAACATTTTTACCTACATTTTTTAATTCTGAGGCTAGAATTGAATTCAGTAACCCCAAAAACCTTTAGAAAACAATATTTGTTTTAAGTTTCTTTGTCAGAAAAGAGTTAATAAAAAAGTTGCGAGCATTGGAAAAGCATTAGAAAATATCGAAAAGGTTTTAATTTCCGCATAACTCATGACGGAAGTGTAATTCCTATCTTGAATATAAGAAGATGATGAAGATTAGAAACTAAAGTAAACGATGGCTGGAATGGCAATAAGACAGCGATCAGCGCGCAGTTCGCGGTTTTCCGCGTTATCTAATCCGCTCGAATGCATTTCGCGCGAATGCCATGAAATTACGCGTATTAACGATACCATTTCGAAACGTCAATCGATAGCATCTTCTTTTTTATTCAACCGTCCTATTCTATAGTTGCAAATAAAGACGACACCAGGCGAATAAAGGTAATCGATAATATCGGAATTTTTGTCGAGGGTGACTGCGTACCTCTCCCGTTATTATTGTTTCACACCGTGCGGTTTTCCGGTATTTCGCGGACGAGCGAAGTCGGTCGATCGGATGTTCCTGTGCATGAAAAACAGATCGCATGGACGTGAGCGAGCGTCGATGACGATGTAGGTCAGAAGAGAATAGGCGTTGTCAACGGCAAGTGGGTCACCAAACCGTGCAGAGTGCGAAGCGGCACAACGGTCAATAATTATACACTGGCACGTTTGTGTCGCGATGTCTTCGGGACACGCATGTAACGTTCCAACTCGCCCCGTCCCGCCCTTCTAGTCACGCATCGTAAATCGCGACGTTCGATATATTGCTGAACACATCTTACTCCCGGACGGGAAGTCGGTGATGGGAGGAATCAGGCAGGCCAGGAAGAGAGATATTTACGTATGCACATTGAAATCCACTTGCGAGAAGAGGGAACGCTGTGCCATGCAAGGTCGCGAGTACATTAACGAACTCATTTTCTCACCCTCGACGGCGTCGTGCATGAAAGCCTCATTGCGCTGCCAAGCAACGTTT